GGGAGCCTTCAGTGCTAACAAACGCTAGCGCCACATGGTAGTAATAATGGACTTCCTTATTCTACAAGACAAAAACAGAAACCCATGCCAGCATGGTGGCTCAAGTAACCAGCCTTAGCAGGTTGGCTTGGAGACTTTAATTTTACTTGAATTCCTGCCACTTTCAGCTTAAATGATGGCTGAAGACCTTTTACGCAAACACAGAGGTAAGACTATCCAGTGCAATTAAGCAGCATTCAGCTGTAGCCCTTCCATCCGTACTAGTATCGTTTGCCTAATTAAGACCTTTTCCTTGTGGGGGCAAGGGGGTTGTGGGAGGGGATGACTTGTAGGCTTCCCATTTAAAAGATAAATATAAGATATATAAGATAATTATAACAGATTATTATTCTGAAGGGAGCAACAATTGACTTGCCAAAAACTCAGAGCAAAATCCAGATACATAGGCTGCATGCTTAGGCATCTCATCTCTAGCAAAGTTACAGACTAGTTGCTTGCTAGATATTAGCTTTCTGTCACACACACATACTGGTGTATGACCCTTCACTATGGGGACAACATAAGGCCCATTATGAATTGCAATCCACGCCTTTATTCTTAGAATGGCCTCTTGACGTAGATCTGGCTGAAGAAATGATCTAAGGTCACTTAGATACAGCAAAGTAATACTTGCTTCGTGGTTGCATGGAAATTTGAACTTATGCCTTCTCCAGCCTGTGTTATCATTGTATATTTACACCACTGTGATACAACTTCCACTGCCTTGTCCCCATACGACGGAATCCAGGGAGTTGTAATTTAGAGAAGTACATGTTGTTGTTGTTGTTGTTTATTCATTCAGTCACTTCCAACTCTTCGTGATCTCATGGACCAGCCCACGACAGAGCTCCCTGTCGGCCATCACCACCCCCAGCTCCTTCAGAGTCAAGCCAGTCACTTCAAGGATGCCATCCATCCATCTTGCCCTTGGACGGCCCCTCTTCCTTTTTCTTTCCATTTTCCGCAGCATCATACCAAACTACAAATCCATGGCAAACAATGGAGCCAAGGCAGTTAAAGTGGTATCCAACTGCCAAGATTGTGCAGTATGGATACACATGAGCCCAGCACTCTAGTTGACTATGAAGCTAGGACCTAGTGTGATGAAACAGACATTGGCAAAACCGAATCCCAGGACGGAACTACAATGACCCAACAAACTGGTGCTCATCTGGCATGCTGCATACCTGATCGACCCTGGGATGGGTGAGACAGGAACTCTCCCAGCCACTGCAGAGGCAGCAAGGAGTCCTGAATACACAGCAGTGCTGAACAGAGCAGAGCTAAACACAATTCGGCACTAATGGATGACTACCCTTGCCCTGTCCTCCGTGTTGAAGCTGTCTCTGGTCATGGGTCATATGTGTTGGCCATTGCTTGCAGTGACAACGGGGTGGGGGGGAGAAATAATTGCCTCCCCCCCTTCCCTTTCCCAATCACCCTGTCAGTTTGGCTGACATTACTGGAAGTGACAATCAAAAGGTAGAACCTGTATCACAACTGAAGAACAGCAAAATCCAGAGGATTGGAGAGGACAGTAATTACCATTCTGTGTCACTGGGCCACTAAACCCTAGGAAACACAGGATGGCAGTGAGAACAAGCATGTATAGTTTACAAGCATGTATAGAAGCTATTTTGAACTGGAAAATCACAACTAAGCGAACTACAGATGGTGTGTTATGTTCCAAGTTGGGCATCTTTCAAGAAACAATAATGTTATCATTTTCTTGTATCTGACTAGAAAAAGATGAGATCTGTTTGATGATAAGATATTCTACACCATTTGCTTAGAAAGGCAGTATAGATGACCAGATTACCAAGCATTTTAAGTGACATGAGAACTACCTACCTGCAGGGTCACACCTTTCCTATTCATATTTTGCAGTCATCTTTTCCTGACCAAATGAAGTATAGGGGATGGCCATATGTGAAAGGGTCTTTCCAGCAGTGGCCCCCAGGGTGTTAAAAATTATCTCCCTAGATAAGTGTCCCTGTTATCTAACCTTATGTCTCTTCAGCCACATGCAAATACATTTTATGTATCCATGATGCTAAAAAAAGCAAGATTGTATATTTTTCTACCATGTTTTTGATCAATTTGATGCTTCTGAATTTTACTCCCTATCTTGAATGTTTACCTCTTTTACATGATTGAGTTTTCTATTTTGTGTTGAATTGTAACTATGATCATTTTAACTGGCTTCTGCCCAAAGCTGGCCAGAGAGTGGAAAGAATCCCCTAGCAGACTCTTGAGGGTCGTGAAAAGATAGCAAATAATTCGACATTTGTTTATGTTTATTGTATTCTTGCTTGCTAGGAAATGGGTGAAAGAAATGTGTAGGATTTTCTGCATCAGATGCCAAAACAACTTATCTTGTCCTGGAGCTATGGGCATTGGGAGGATGGACTACTTACTATTCTATCGCGGATAGCAAAATGTCTTGACCCAACCTCCTTCTGAATGACAGTAGGACTGGTCCTGACTTTTAAGGTGGAATCCAAAGGCAGCATATAACACATAAGACATCTTGATGGGAATTGTGACCTTTTGCTTCTTAGGCTACATGGCAAGTCACACATGAAACTGGAGAATTTTCAGAACTACCTTACGCTGTAACCAAGTTGGAAGTCCCACTTGATATGTCCAGGCTCTTGAGCATACTTAAAGTAATTCTTTCAATCTTGGAATAGCTTAATCCAAATAAAATCAATTAAGTTATTTTTAAAGGACTTAACAGAGTTTTTTTAAAGCACATATACCACATTTCTTACTTTTAGTCACTGCTAGTTCTGCCAGAGTTCATAACAAAGGTTTGGCTTCTTGTAGCATGCTAAATAAAGAACCGAACCTTGTTTTCATTTGAAATGCAAGAGCAATTTACAGATTCAAGTGAGATTAAAATGGCATTTGTCTGTTCACTGAGCCAGAAACACTGGAAAATTTCTTCTGTCCTCAAAACATACACTGAAGCTGCTAGCAATAGAGACCTATTTGCTGTAAGATAATTTCCTGAAGGAACTAGTTTCTTTTCCCTTGTTGGATTAAGGTCTAAAACATCATTTCTAAAAAGTCAGGATAGGCAAATTGGATAGGACTTGGCTCTGGACCATTTGTGCAGCTGCCTCAGACACCTACACATTAAGTAAATGAGCCACTTTGCTGTACTGACAGCTAGTGCAAAGTCTTGAATAGCTCTTTTTGCCCAAACTTCTACAGTTGCATACTTATTCACATAGAAAATTCAGTTATATGTAGCACTGTTTTTTTTAAACAAGTGGATTTATGAACATAGCGTCTGAAATCTTAGACCTCTATATGTAAGAAACATATATTCTGCTTTTCCTCTCAAAAAAAGAAGAGATCTTCAAAAGGGCTATAAAAACCATAAAACTATAATTAAAACATATTTACATTAAACTAAATGCAGCAACAAAACCACAAAGAACCAAAAACAGTAGTCAGTAAATAAAATTAAATAAAAATTGTTTGAGTGTTGGTTTGAAAAGAAGATGAAAGGGAAAAATGGGAAATGGAAAGATTTTTTTTAATGGAATGCTGATTATAGGATGAATGACCTAACCATATAAACCTCCAGGTCTATAATTCTTACTCTTTACCATTGGCCATGTTGGCTAAGGCTCCTGGGATCTGAGATCTAAAACATCTAGAGTGCCAAATATTTCTTAACCTGAAAATCATGGTGCAGCCATAATTGAAAAGGCAGTAGCACACACAAGAACACCACAGTAGCTCATCTTAAAGGATTTCAGAAGCAACTATAGAAAACATTAAAACAATGGGTATAGCTTTTTGTGATTTTATTGGCCCAAGAGAGAGGATTTGGCATGAATAAAAATCCTTCTGTTCAAGCCATAGAATCAACAAGATTTACAAGATATAAGTATTTTAATGCCAGGATTACTATTTATATCTGCCTTCATATTGAAGGTGACTTTGAACCTCCAATGTTTTCAGATATTTTATTTATTTACAAAAGGTGTTAATAGTTCAAAAGATTTGCTCATAAACATTGTTTATATTTATTTTGTCTAGGGAAAGATCCTTAACCGAAAAGGATGCTGTCCCATTTGCACTGAAAGTGAGTAAGTTCATTCTTCACGTTTTTAAACCATTTCTCGGAGAAATTATGTGTGAATTGTCTTTTGAGTCTTCCATTTTCATTATGAGTAACAGAAAAAAAATATTTGTGGCAGTGTTGGATTTATTCATCATGCCAAATAGGTTTTTTTTTCTTTTTAGATAATTTCCCAAACCCTGCAACATACTTTTGTAATAGAAAGATCAATATAATCAGAAATCTCAATCGGCATATTATATATTTATAGCAAGATGACCAATGGTGCTGTAAGTCAAGATATTTATAATTAAGAGGCAAAATTGATTAGGACATAATATTTGCAGATGACATTGTTCTTGTTTGTTGTTTGCTGGCTCTGTTAAACTAACCAAAGTGAGATTGAAAATTCCTGTTGCCACTCCTTTTCCCATCAGTGTATATGATAAAGTCTGGTACATTAAAGTATTTGAAATTAAAGCCAGGCTAACCCAAAGTGAAAGTTGTAAATATTGTCTGTTAAAATGTACTGTCTCTTTAATTTTAGAACAATGAGCAATAAGTCAAATTTCATATAATTCAGTGGTTGGTCTGTGTGATATCACTATATTTTCAACCTTAGCCCTCCATCATAATAAGGCTATAATATCTCATGGCTGTGTTGTAAAATCTACTGTAATGATGCACACTTAAAAAAGTGCAGTATTACTTCTATAGTCACTGCTACAACATATGGTCTTTTTAATTTATTGATTTTTTTATTAGCTACAAGTTTTTTTATTATTTACCGTCAAAATATTTAATATTTTTAGTAACAGTTGTTCGCTTTTATTTTAACTGTTGAGTTATATAAAGAAACAGGGGCAATCTACTGAATATACTCATGTATGTCAATGACAGATTTGGGGGTCAAAAATGGATTTTTCATATGTCCTGTGGATAAGTTGAGGGTCATTCCACAGAGAAGGGAAAACAGCAATCCTTCTCAGGAGGGCAGCATTCCTTGACCATCACCACCATTTCCCAGCAGGCTTTCAAAAAAGCTAGAAGTAGTGCCATGGCAGAGAGACTAGAGGTGCGCAGTACTTTCTTAGGTTCTCTTTGGATGGATTTAGGGAGATTTTACGTGAGTTTGATACAGCATCTTTGATGTCATATAGTGTATCCTTGATGGATTTTTTTTCCCAGCAATTAGAATCCATTGTTCTGTGTCCTCATCTCCAAAGCATCACAGAACAAACTTGCTCCCTCCTTTCAGATATTTCAAATATTTAAACATGGCTATCAACCCCCCCTCTCAGCCTTCTTTTCTCCAAGCTAAACATACCACCTCCTTCAGCCATTCCTCATAGGCCTTGATCTCCAAACCTTTGATCATTTTAGTCACTCTTTTCTGGACGCATTCTAGGTTGTCAATATTCTAGGTATATGCATATTCTAGGTAAGGTATAATCAAAGCAGAATAGAATGGGACTATGATTTTCCTCGATATACCTGAGAAAATGAAAGCTAAGTTTCTAAGGAGTTTTTAAAGTCAAGAGATCTTAATGATAGTCAAAATTCCTCTTTAAAGAGTGACTTCATACAAGTGTATGCAACATTCAGTTTTACTTTATGGTTATTTGCAGAAAATATGAAGTGACACTATAATCTTGTCTGTACTATATGATCTATGATGCCCCATTCAAATATGTAGATAGCCCACAAATGATGTGATGAAGGTCATGTCTGGGTTTTCTCCCATACAACTACTTTCCCTCATGTAGATGTTTTTGGCCCAGTACCTTGGATCTTGCCAGAGATTCATGGCTAACTTACAAAGTCAGCAGTTGACACCAATCCCTCAATTCCACAGCCACCATCGACAGATGGTTAGCAAGCAGTCTTCTTTCTCACAAAAGGCAGCTTTTGAGAAGTCAGGCACAGAAAAAGTAGTCTGGAATTAGGAGCTAGTAACTCTTGTCTTGGATCAGGGTTTGAAATTTCAAAATACCGTATTCCTGGAGAAATGAGTGAGACTCAAGTTCATTTGCAAAGGTGTGAGTGTATATTATTGGAAAGGGCAATCACCTACTTTCTCCAAAGAAAGCAAGCCCTAAATTTCTCCACCACTGATTTATAATGCAGTCTGGAAGTACAATTTAAAACCTGGTAAAAACGAAATATGGTAGATGAGACGTCTGCGGGTATGTGCAGAGAAAGTTAGAAATGAACAGCCCATAAACATTCAAATAGGAAGCATTCTGGGACATTGCCCTGGAAATAGGTCATGATTGACAATGGTTTAAGTTGCAACAGATGATTTTTTTTTGAAAAATATATATCATCCTGACTACCCTTTCCATCACAGCTAATCCATTAAATAGCCTTAGATTAAAGTGTAATTAAAAATTGCAAAATACTAGATTTGCAAAGAGAAAAACTTCCCTGGATGATCGTGCACGTAATGTATCACAATATGTAGCTTTCCTAAGCCACAGTGAAAATATTTATAAATATGAAGTCATTGGGATTAAACTAGGAGAGCCGTGTATTTCAGAAATAAAGTCTTTTAACTCAGTTACAAAATACTGTTTCAAATTTGGTAGTGTGTGATTTTGGTTAAATTAAAATCAAGTAAGTCCAAATGTTACACAATGATACATTGTGTCTTTTATTAAAATAGCTCTTAGTAATAAGTGGGAAACTAGTGGAAATATGCCTTTGTCACCAAGTGGGTACAGCATTGCAAAATAAGAAGTGGTACACTGGCTTCAGCAGGAACACATTGTACAGTTGAAAATTATTCAACAGAGACAAGAAGACATAAAATTGTCCATCTTGCATGTTTGTATTGATACCCACTGAAATCAATATGAGTTTTTCTGATTACAACAGAAGCACTCAAAAAAAAAAAAAAAACAAGAGCAGGATTTCCCATTGCGTTCATTTATAAGAGAATGGTTGTGTATCACACTTCATCAAGCTGCAAAATTGTTGGAAGAGACAATATGACTCAATGATATTGCATTTCCAAGTGGCACTATTTTCCTAATGTTTAACCCTTTGGCTGAATTGTAACATTTCTAAAATATTTGGGAGATGAGAAAGAGACATGTAACAAGATAGGAAAGAGTTGTGTGGTACGAAGATTATGTCTTCAGCTATGTTCACGTACTACGAGAGTAGATCCTAAGCAAAACATCTGGATCCAGGCCCACAAATCTAAACTAAATTAATTGGAAGATTCAGCCTAGTTCAGATGGTGATTGTTTACGATTCATTTCTATTTTCCTAGTTTTTGGGTGCTCATGTTAGAAAATCAAAGCACATTTATTTCTCTGGCAACTGATAACTTTAATCTCAGGCATGTGTTTCTTTCCTGAGAATGTCCAGTAGTAGACATGAGCCAATCAAAATTAATTTCTATTAGTTAAAATTCTTCTGGTTTTAATAAGTAAAATGAGATGTAATGGTCAAATAAAAACTAAGGAGGAAGATCTGAGGGAAATAACAGCAAGCTGTTACAAAAACCTTCGTACAAATAAAGAGATTGGAAGATTAGAGGGAATCAGTACAGGAAAATTAGACCCACAGATACAAACAGGACTGAACAAAATTATCACAGTAAGGAAATTGAAGATGTTATTAATAATCTCAAACCAAATTCTTCCCCTGGTCCTAACAGCTTTACCTCTATTTTTAAAATATTTTTTCCAATCTGAAGTCATCCCTAATCTAGAAATTTTATTTAACAAGATATTAAAGAGCAGAACCACCCCCGAAACATGGAAAAGGTCAGAAATAATTACAATTTTATAACACAATAAAAAAGAGAACAATCCCAACTTTTATAGGCCAATTACACTGTGCAATGCAGATTATAAAATTTTTACAAAAAATCCTGCTAATAGATTGATAGACATAATCCCAAAGTTAATAGGAAAGGACCAATATGGGTTTATTAAAATAGAAGATTAGCAGATCAAATCAGAAATATACTTCATGCAATTAACCAAGCTACAAGAGAAAATCTATATGCCCTTACATAGACGTCTAATAAAATCAATACAGTGTATTTTATTGATTTGCTATACCAGCATATACATACTAAGCACATCCCCACATTTAGCACAATTATATCCACAGCACTGTATTTCACGCTGGTAGAGGTTTTCACATATATTATATCTGGTACATTTACCTGGACTGTTTAATGTTTTGCATGGACATCATTTAAATTTACAGTTGTCAGATAGGATTTCTGTGGTTCCTTATTAGGAAAATACTTGCGTGGCTTCACAATAACATAGAACACAAAGGGGGAAGCTTATGTTTTTGTCTGCTTTCATAACCAAGCAATATTATTGATAGTTATAGTCTAATATAATGATGGGAATGCAATTTTGCTGTCACTTCTACTTTAAAAAAGACCTTTTAAAAATTATATAAGCAAAAATATATGAATTTTGTTTGGTTTCAACATGATAAAAGAGCTTATTTCTCATTTTACATATTTTTTAAAAATAAATAGATTTTATTGTTAACACAGGTAGAATAATATCAATTTCAGCCACCTTTTCATTGTACAAACAGCATATCATTCACTCATTTTTTTCAACATTGCCAACTCTGTGTTTATCTTCCACAAGTGTCTAACAATATTACCCCCTTCCCTCCCCCCACCTGGGAACAGTACTTTCTTTCATTCAAATATTATTTCAATTGATCAATCATTGAGAGTGTGTAGTTCAGTTCTTTGTATTTTTCTTTTATTTTTTACTCTAACAATCTTCTCCATTTCAGTCGCATTGATGAGTAATTGCCCCTGGTTATCTTTATAAAGTTCCTTAACTCCTTCACAAAATTCTCTCCCTAGATTTTGGGGGGAGAATTGTGGTTTACCATGTCAAACACTTTGTAAACATCCAATTTTAGTAACAGAAGTTTCCCCTTCTTTACAAAATGGTAAATATAATCTGTTTCTTTTCCACATCTGCTATAGGTGTCTTTCTAATTCATGTTTGCTTCTGTTTGATTTAAGG